TATAATATTAATATAATATTTTATAATTATAAAAGAAGTGAAATATGTTTCAGATTGTCTGAATTGTTACTGAGTAAAATTTGTCTTATCTGGATAGTGATCTCTTCTTTTTGTAAAATATTTTTCTTAGTTCCTTTTTCTTTTTCTAGATCGTAGCAAAGCTGAGATGGATCTGAAAGAGTTGAGTGAGTCAGTCCAACAGCAGACTACTCCTGTGCAACTCATTTCACCAAAACGACAGATACGTAGTAGGTTCCAGCTTAATCTCGACAAGACAATAGAGAGTTGTAAAGCGCAACTTGGTAAGTGTATCTCAAGAATACAATGGACATCTGAAGGATACACTTGAGGAAATTTTGAATTGGAGTTTAAAAGAAGTTTTCGAATAGTAAAACCTTAAATATTTTATGCATTAAAACAAGAGTAGAGGATATTTGAACTCTTTGAGGCAAGTAGAATGCACTGAACCAGTTTAATTTAAAATACAGTGAGACCTGATGTTTCAAATTTTTGTCAAAAAGCTTTCATCTTTTAATCTGTTCTTGTACCATTCAGATGTAGATAGTATGACAGAATTATAGTCTTAATATTTGCTTTGTAAATTGAAAAATTCAAGAATTGTACCTAACTTATGTCAGTTGCACAAATTAGTATATCCAGTCACACAGGAACTGAATGCTGTTGGAAGCATTAGTGTTGTTTAGCACTTAATTAAAGACTTTCTAGGCATTATAAAAATTAGATATTCTCCTTGCAAAACTTACGCAATCTAAAATTGATTCTGCAAACGTGCATGTAAGTAATTTTAATCAGGTGAATAGTGTTACTGATTTTAAGGTGGTTTCTTGTGAATAAAAATAATTCCTCTTTGTATTTGCCAGCATTGGTCCTAAGTTGAACAAAACAGCTTGCAGGTAGTGGAAAAAAGCAGTGAAAGGAGGGCCATTGAATGAAATAAAAATGTGAATTGGAATATGTGGAAGGTAATTCTTATACATTCTGGTGTTGAGATAGGGTACTAAGGGAAATGTTTATAGCTTAAGGACTGACAGCTAAGATAATGGTATGTATACACTTTGTTCCAGTATATAGAGTATTTTTTCTGGTAATGTCAGTCAGTCTGATGTCAGCATGGAATGTACTTTCCTCCCCACAATTAGGAATAAATGAAATATCTGAAGCTGTTTATACTGCAGTAGAACACAGTGATTCTGAAGATTCTGAAAAGTCTGACACCAGTGACAGTGAATATAGTGATGAAGATCAGAAATCAAAGAATGATCAAGAAGATGGAGAGGACAAGGAAGGTACGAGAAGTGACAAAGAATCATTGAGCTTGAAAAAAAAACCTAAGCCCCCAGCACAGAATGAAGACAAGGAGGAACTTAAAAGCACAAGTCCAGAAGTGGAGAAAACAGATGACCCAGTCAAAGAAAAGGCAATTACAGACACTGAGAAAGAATTTTCTGAAAAGGGAAAAAGTTTACAGCATCCTGCAAAAGAAAAACTGAAAGGTAAAGATGAAACAGACTCTCCAACTGTGCATCTAGGACTGGACTCTGATTCTGAGAGTGAACTTGTCATCGATCTAGGAGATGATCATTGCGGCCGTGAAGGAAGGAAAACCAAGAAAGAATCTAAAGAACCTCCTCCTAAACAAGATGGTAGGATTAAATTCTTTCCTTCCTTTTTTTTTCCTGTTCTGTAGGGCTAATGTGGAAGCCAGAGTTGTTACCTTTATTTTTGCATTAAGATAAAAATATCTGTACTAAAACCATTTTTAGGAATGATTTTTCATTCTTTGTGACTATGAAAAAAGTTTTCAGTCCCCATTATAGTTTCTGGTTTAAATAAAACATGTTTCATTGAGTTTCCTTTCAGCAGCATAGAACTATGAATATTTGTAATATTTGTTCTGTAACAAATGCAGAATTTATTTTGCAATTGTTATGACTTTCAGTTGAATTTTTACATTTCCATAGACCACCCAAAATCGCAGGTATAGAAGAAGTTGGAACTTATCAAACATACAAGTTGCATAAGATCCCATTGAAATAAAATGTAAATGCTCTCAGTAATAATCAAAAAACCAGCTAAATCACATGTATTGTCCCTGAGATATTGTCCCGTGTTTCTATGTGTTGCTAAAAGAGGAAAGCAATCTCAATTAATGAGTACAGTGCTTTTGCTAAACTTGTTTTGCATGTTAGCCTTTTGACAAAAAGAATAGAAAAGCAGATTTAAATGGTTAGATTGAAAAATATTTTATTCTTCATATAACTTTCTCTTCTTGTCTATATTTTATAGAATGTTGACTCAATCATTTAATTAAAAATGATGTTTTCAATCAGTTAACTAAGCATACTTTAGAAGGCAACTTAATGCTTCTGAATTTTGAATCTTAAAATGGAATTTAATTGACAAATGTTGTTGTTATGAGATAATCAAGAAAATAGGCTTATAAACTAAAAACAGAATTGTAATTTTGGGGAGTTTGTATTGACTGATTCTTGTTTTATTTAAAAATTTATTGAGCAAGGCAGCTTTATGAATTTCAAAACCACTGATTCATGTATTAGTAGTGGCCTAAACCAGTGATGGTTGAAATAATAAGTAATCCTAAAATTTTACTTTAATATAGAGGCAAAAGAATAATACACATTCTGAGTGAAATTAAAAGTGGATTTAAATATTTATATATATAGGCCTATATGAATATATTCTAGACATAATTTGTGTCCTGTCCATGATTCCAAGGTCCCTACCTTTACTTGTGGCTTTCAGATATTAAAATGCCTTGGTCCAGAAAAGAGATCTGATGCATGCAAATCTGAAGGTCTTTGCTCCCTTTCCAGAAACCTGTCAATCCAGCAGCCTTCTCTTTCAGATATGTTTTTCCTGGCCACACCTTTGGAAGAATCATCCAGTTCCTAAATTGATCTGATATGTGGAACAGTCAACTATAAACTCTGGAAGATTTTTGAGTAAACATAGATATCTTAAATACACTGTATATTTGGTTGTCAGTGCCAGTTCACCTTTGTTTAGAAAGTTTTTAGTATGCTATTCCTTGAGTTATTGTTCAGTCATTGTTCCTTTTGGATGTATTTTTCTCCTGAAAGAAATTGGGATGACAGGTGTAAGTGGTAACCCAGAAACATCCTAACAAATGCTAACCTCTCACATATCTTCCAAAAGAGGTCAGGCTGTTCTTCTGGGTTTTGTACTTTTTGTTTTGTTTTGCTTAATGGCTAATGCTTCTGAATTGCTACCAACTTCAACTAGACTGAAATGAGTTTACTTGTAGAATATCAATTACCTTTTGAGGTAATTCACTTTTTTGAGGAAAAATGATTCAAAATGATTTTGAGGAAAATAATTCAAAGTAGACTGGAAGGTGCATGTGGCTCTTCTAAAAATTAGGTGGAAAATTATGAATCAGATGTGTTGGTGAAAAGCTGGCATTACATTTTATATTTGTTTAGTTGTAGGTAAAACTCCACCTTCCTCCAGTGCAAGCACCCAGCCTCTACCAGAAACTCCAGTACTTACCCGCTCTGCAGCCCAGACTCCACCAGCTGGTGTGACAGCAACTACTAGTGCTTCTTCTACTGTTAGTGCTCCATCTGCAGCCACTGGAAGCCCTGTGAAAAAGCAGAGGCCTCTGCTGCCTAAGGAAACTGCCCCTGCTGTGCAGCGTGTAGTGTGGAATTCTTCAAATAAATTTCAGACATCTTCTCAGAAATGGCACATGCAGAAGATGCAGAGACAGCAGCAACAGCAGCAGAGCCAGCAGTCTCAGTCACAGCAACCTCAGTCCTCTCAAGGGACAAGATATCAGACAAGACAAGCAGTTAAAGGTATACACTTTCTAACTCAATGTGCCTGTGATGCCATAATTCCCCAGTAGTGATCTCAGTGCTCCAAGTCTGCCTAACCAGGAGTTCTTCCATATAAACAAAATCTCAAAGTGTGGTTCTACTCTGATAAGTGACTTTAAAACACAACAACTTACTCACCATACCTGCTCTTTCTGGTGTGTATTTAGAGTCATGTCTCCTTATTTTAATGACAAAAAGTTTGTGTGTGTATCTGTATAAATATTTTTGTCATTCTTAGCCATCACAGATTTGGGAGAGTGAACTGAATTATTTTCTGCATTATATGACAAAAACATTAACTATTCCACTTGCATGATAACCACTGTCACCTCAATATCTACAAACTGGATCCAGTTTTCTCTGACAAGAAGCTGATCTGTACGGTTTTTCATAGAGTATGATTTGACAACAATGAAATTACCCAGGCTACATTTGTCTTTGAAATCCCTGTTGCTTAACTCTTAACAAGACTTTGATGCTAGTTTACTGAGCAAACAGCCACGGCATTTTAGAATGTTTTCACAACTGTTTTCTTACCATCCCTTTGCCGGAGGTTTTGCCAGTAGTAGGCACATGGTAATATAAGCCCATGCTTCTATTGCTTCACTTCACAGAACTTTATGTAAACCTAGCTTCATTTGTAATTTCAAGTTAATAAACTGAACTGTTTACTGGTGTGCCTGATGAATAGATATTCTCCATTCTGCTAACACTGCTGGCAAGCCAGTAATTTCATACAGAAGAGACGTTTAAGTAGTGGGTCACATCCCAACGTTTACCAGAGGCACATTTCTCTGGTCCCAAGCTGCTTTTGTGACTGTCATTTAAGAAGTGTTGAAGAAGCGGTGTCTTTCTACTTGCAGACTCCACAAAATTGATACAGAAATATTCCGTGAGAAAAATAAATGTGAAACTTGGTGAAGTCTTATTTTTTTAATAGAATATGGGCTGAACTTTAAATGTTCAGCCTATGAGTTTGTTTTATCAATGTTTACTATTAAGTGCATCAGAGCAATGTTCCATCTTAAATATTATACTCTACAAATATATCAAATGAAAACTATAAAATCTATAGATTTCTTATATACTGAATTGGCATAAACAAAAATATAGTACATAGAGATAAACTGAATAACTTTTATTTCAGTAATTCCTGTTTTGAGGATATTGGCAATGAAGACATCTTTTATAATATGACTCATTAAAAATAGATTGAAAAGTATTTTCCTAAAAAATACATGTTTTTTTAAAAATTCGAGGTAGATAAATCGTTAGGAATGAAAAGGTGAGGGTCTTTGCATTTTGATTTGTACTCTCATTTTTTAATTACCCACTGTTTAAGATTATTTGAAGTATTGACCAAAGATGACAAAAATTTTCTTATCCTGTTTAACACTATGAATAACTTCTTTGCTTTAATGAGTTAATCTAATGTTGCATTTCTTGCTCTGCAGCCAACCAAAGGCTAATGTTGACCTGGATATATGTATATTAAACATGTTGCAACACTAATAATAATCAGTAGCAATAATAACAAAAGAATGGGATTAACACCAGGAAGTATTACTAAAGTAGGCTTTCTTCAACAGTGGCTCACTAAACCTTGTTTCAAAGCAAAAAGAAAAGAAAATCAATAATACGTTTCAAAATTATGGCAAATGAAAATGTCAAAGTCTACCTTACGCTCGTATGTATGGTATTAGTTGGGAGCTCTCCAAACTGAGAGGTAAGGAAGTGAATTTCTAGGAAGTGGGATGGAAAAGTCCCAAAATGGGAGGAATACAGATCTGAGGGAGACTTTTGCATTGGCCAGTCTAAAATAATAAGTTTCAAAGATATATTTGCTTCACTTTGCTTTAAGCCTTACAATTATGTACAAGTTCAGTGGCTGGGCACTGTATAATTAATAGATTAAATGGCACCATTGTATAAATAATGTAAGTCTTTGAAATGGTTAGGTGCACACATTTAAGTTAGACATTAAAGTTAGAAGTTTGCCTATTTATTTTCATAATTGTTTATGTGATTGATCTGCTGTATGTTCTCTTTTCTTAGCTGTGCAGCAAAAAGAGATCACCCAGAGCACTTCCACATCCACTATAACCTTGGTTACAAGTACTCAACCTATTTCTATGGTTACCAGTTCTGGATCTGCAAGTACACTTTCTTCCTCAGTTAACACAGACTTGCCAATTGCAACAGCTTCAGCTGATGTGGCTGCAGATATTGCTAAATATACTAGCAAAGTAAGTTCTTGAGCAAGGTTTTCTTGAAATTTACTTTGAAGAGAACTTTCACATTTTTGACATTTCAAATTCTAAAATAACTTTATTTTCAGGTTGTCGTATGTGGCAAATTCATTCTACTAGGTAGGAACAGCTAGATTTTGACAAAAGTGCTGAACCATCTTTTATTGCTGGCTGAATGCTGCCATTCCAAGCCAGAGTGTGTAGATGATAGGCTTCAGCTGCTCAGACACTTTAGACCCGTTCCTTCTCATGTTCCCCCATTGCTGCTTCTTATTTACGTTGCATTGTGGTTTAGACCATTTTCTGTGTGTTCTCCTAAAGGTGTAGATATCCCCTCAGCGTCATATTTACAGTAAACATTAATATTTCTTCATCTTTGTCCACGAATACATATACAAAAGTGTAGTTTTGTTTTAAAACACTGTGTAGCTTCATCAGATGGTAACTTGTCATAAGTGTGTATTCATATATTAAAACAGAAGCTAAGTTGTTAAAGAGAAGATGTGGTGTAATACTTGTATCAAGATAGTGAGAGTGAGGGATGGGACATTAGCTTTTCATATACTCTCTTAGATCTTTAAATTAAAACATCAAGGTGAATGCTATATAAGGAAATAAAGTTGAGTACCCAGGCATTAAAAGCACCAGAATTAATCTTGACTATCAACTTTCAATGTTCCCACTCAACTTGGTGGAATTGTCAGTGGTCAGCAATGTCAGTAAATGTCTTTTTTTTTTCTTTTTTTGTTGTTGTTGTTGCATTGAGTTTCTTCCCCAAACTTAGGGTTATTTTTTTTTGTTCGTAAATTATATTAATGGCAATTTCTTGGAAAAGTAGAAGGTCAAGCAGTTCACCAGTTCAGGACACTTAAAAATCAGAGTCCTGATCAAAAATGTTGTGGTTTACCTTCTAAATAGTCCTCTAAAAGTAGACCCAGATAAATATATAGAGAGATATGGAGCATTGTTGATAATAATGTAAGTTCACATTAGAGTGGTTGAAAGGAAGTGAAAGTGGGTATCTATTAAAAATATATATCAAAGATTTTTTTTTTCTTTTCATTTTGTCTTTCAGATGATGGATGCCATCAAAGGAACAATGACTGAAATATATAATGATCTTTCAAAAAATACTACTGGAAGTACAATAGCTGAGGTTAGTGTAAGATAAAAAAAAAATACTGCTTGTATTTTAACTTTGAAAGTTGCAAAATAGTATTTTATATATAAAAGTACCATATAACTATATCTACAAAGTATTATAAATTGAGACTGTCTAGAAATCCTAATTTCTATGCTGTTTTGATTAGAGTGGTAGAGAGAAACACTGAAAAAAAAATCAGATGGGCTGTATAAGATAAGCAGCAAGAACAATAAGCCATCAAGCCCAGATCCTTAAAGCTTCTGTTGAGGATTTAATTTTATCACCTTGTTTATAATCAGAATTGAAGTAGTTTTTTTGAAAATACCATTTTTTTAAAACATGTATTTGTCCACCAGAGGAAGAAGATTTGAATTTACTTGTAGTGTAGTAGCTTATTCCAGTTATGTGATTATGACCATAGTTTTTAATACTTTTAAAAAATATTTTTAATACTTTTTGCATTTTTTATGAAATGCTATACATTGCTTTTAATTCCAAAGGTAGTACTTAGTATCTTTTAAGTGTTTTCTTTAAACTTGGAAAAAGCAGATTAAGCAGTGTAAACCAAGTACAAATATGATCAAGGAAAGCTCAGTTAAAAGTGTGATGGTTTGTTTGCTTGTTTTAACCAAAATAAGGAAGTCACAATTTTGAGCAACAATATTTGTACTCCCAATCCACAGTGAATGAAAAAATTGCTTTCCTAAGCCTCATCTAGTTAAAAGAAGAAAAAAAAAAGAAATGTCATACTAATAAATGCAAGCAAAACTGAGGAATAGGTTTTTGATTCCAGTCAGAGGAATTTGAGACTCGATTAATTTCAGAGGAAGCAAGAGCAAGTTTAATAGAAATGCTTTTTGTTTTCAAACAATCCTGTACTTTTTATGGTAGGAAAATCTAGCAAACAAATACTTAGAATACCTCAGACTTTGGTTTGGGGTTTACTATGGTCTTGTCCTCATGTTAATATGAAGGAGCTTTGATGTAAGTGATAATCAGGCTCTTTGCTTTGGGCATGTTTTTCTGTATAATAATAATGTATTATACATTGCACCCTGTTTATTATTACTAACTATTAAATTTTTAATACTTAGATTCGGCGTTTGAGAATTGAGATAGAAAAACTTCAATGGTTACACCAACAGGAACTCTCAGAAATGAAGCATAACCTAGGTATGAAAAAATGGCAGACCAAAAAGTGTATCAGTCCAAATGCTTGTAGTATGTATTACCTTCATCATATGATACTACAAATTGTCCAAGTAAAGGACACAAGACCTTATATAATGTGCTGTGCTGATGTTAGCGGACACCTTTTGAGTATGTACACAAAGGACAGAATAACTCTTTATTTTATGCATCATTGGATAATCCCTCTTCATGAGGTATTTTATGCTGATTACTTCATTCTAATTTTCATATGAATGAAGTTCTGTTAATATAGCCACTGGGGGAACCTGCTTCCTCTGGTATCTTTGGAGATTGTAGCTGACATTTTGGTTCAGATCAGCTGTGGGTGTATATACTTACTTACTTATGTATTTATTTATTTAAAGTGAATAGTCAACCTTGACTCGAATGCCAGACTGTCAGTGAAATAAATTCAAAATACTACCTTAAACAGATAAAAGAATATTCCTCCTAGGAGGGGGATTTTCATCTCTACATTCACTGAATCATATGGGCAGGAAATGAAACCATGATTAAAATGTGATTCCTCTTAAATTATCTTTATTTAATGCACTGACTGTGGGAAGAAGGTTGCAATTGAGTGATCAAGTCTCCTTTAAGATACATGTAGTCCGAACAGCCTTAGGATTGTGTAATACAGTGTCCTCGTCCGCTTTTTGACTCTCTTTGCAGAACATATCTGGAATGGAAGTGAATTAAGGGCTGAATAACTCCATATTCAGACTCATGCCTTCGGTTTGTTAGTAACATTTTGCTCTTTCAAATCAGGGTAGACCGGTTTTTCCACTGCTGCAGTCCAGTTATAGCAATCTTCAGAATTACTTGGGTATGGCAACAACTCGTCTGCAACTCACAGAACTGAATGTCTAGGTGTTCTCAGAAATAGAAGAAAAATCCTTTAAACCCTTTGTCACCAGTCTTAAGCTATGGACTTAAATAAACACCTTTAATGGTGTTCTGAAAGTATCAGCGTTTTTCAAATGACTCAAAGATTCATCCTTAGCCAAGGTGGCTAGAATTGGAATGCTTTATTTGTATTTGCCCACTTTCTTGAAGATTCTGTCAAGCTCTCTTTCACTCATAGTCACTCATAGTGACTGAGGTATCAGTTCGTAACAGCATTAATAGCGGGTGGCTCTCAGAGCAATCTTGAAGTAAAGCTCAAATTTACAGCTTTATTCATGTACTGATGTGTTTTTACAACTTTGTCAGTGTCCCTCCTGGAACTTTCACATTTTTCTTTGTAAAGAAACCAAGATACAATGAACAATTGATTCGCTGTTATTTATGAGAAAAGAGAAGACATAAAATTCTCTGTATTTTCTGAATATTGGAGCAGAACAAAAGTTTGGGCTTGTAAAGACAAAGTATGTTTGCAGCAGCTGCACAGATCCTTTGTGTGCTGCACCTAGTACACCTGGATTCTGATCCTTTGTGGGACATCTAGAACTAAAGTGTTAAATGGAAGGTAATGGTTAAGGGTAAAAATCATAGTGCCAGAATAAGAAAACAAGATGGAAGACTTTCATTTGTTGACTAGGTATGAAACAGAGATGCCCAAACTCAGGAAATACTTTGATTGTTTTAATTTCATGTTGTCTTTAAACTCATGAAAATTATTGTTTTGCACCTTGCTGTTGGGGGGCGGAAAATGCAAAACTCCTCTTCCTTTGCATTTTGAGTAGAACTGACAATGGCTGAAATGCGTCAGAGTCTAGAACAAGAACGAGATCGTTTGATTGCTGAAGTGAAGAAACAGCTGGAACTGGAAAAGCAGCAAGCAGTGGATGAAACTAAAAAGAAGCAGTGGTGTGCTAACTGCAAGAAAGAGGCCATTTTTTATTGCTGTTGGAATACTAGCTACTGTGACTATCCCTGCCAACAAGCTCACTGGCCTGAGCATATGAAATCTTGCACACAGTCAGGTAATCTGGCGCTGCGTTGCCTATTTCACAGCTGAGGGGGTTAGGATGGGTGGAATACAGAGTGACTCAATATTCTTCATTTGCACAGGTGCAGGCACACCTATGAAGAGTGACTGTAGACTGGTATACATGAGTAGTGTCTACTTTCTCTTTTTTCCTTTATTTTAGCTACTGCAACACAGCAAGAAACAGACACTGAAATTAGCACAGAAACATTAAATAAATCATCCCAGCCCAGTTCAAGTGTGCAGCCTACACCCACAGAAACAGCCAGCACCCCTAAGGAAAAGGAAGGTTCAGCTGATAAAAGCAAAGAGAGTGTTACAGTGAGTATCATTGTGGTCACTTCAAACAAAAATAATACGTAAGATTTCTCTGAAACCTACCCCTAAAGGCTTCCCTTGATCAGCCAGGTATTTATGACCATTTGCGTATTTCAGAGAGTGTGATTTGGGGAGTGAGATAGGGAGTTGTGGTTTTTTTCCTTCATCTTGGCAAAAAAATCTCCTTCTGTCCTCTGGGAACACCCTTTCCCCTTCACTCATTCCCAGTAAAACCTTGTGTTGGCTTGACTCATCCTTCCAGCCAAAGGGGACTGGACCTCTCTCTCTCTCTCTCTCCAGGACCCATCAGTGTAGCTTCTGGTCTGGATCTTTCGATACAAGTTGCCTTCTGATAAGCAATACTGACTGCAGCACTTCCAAGCCCTTCTTGCCTGGGGGTTCAGAGGCCAAGCTCAAGACCTGCATTCAAATCAACTTACTTTATCACAACAGACTGCCACTAGGGTACCACAATGTTCCATAACACTGATACAACAATTCACCTGGATCTACAGTTAACGGAGCAGTGTGCAGTTACGAAATCCTCCATAGCATCTACTCTGATAGTATTCAGTAGGCAAGGATGAGCAAATGCTCTAATAAAAGGGACTTAACATTGCATATATAGAAAATGTTTATAGAGAAGATTCTGCTTTATAGGTAGGGCTTGACTATTAGCAATTTCAGCATTGTTTTTCTTCTGCCCTTGCAAGATTTATTAAATGAAAAATTTTATGGGGGGGCTGATCCTTCAAACCCTTACACGTGATCCCCCACATCAGTAGGAGCCTTGTTGTATTTTAAAATATTAAAAGCAAACTAATTTTGTAGTATTGTGATTCCAGCATGATGTCTCATTGAGATAGTCCTATAGAATTGGGAAGCATAGTAAACTAGAGAGCTGTGTTCATTTCTTGACACTTTTGCTACTGTCTGGTGTTAGATCTCTGGGCTTGACATGTCATCTAAGGGAGTGACTTGGGAAACAGATTTGAAGAGGGAAAAAGGATGTGCTGTTCCACTTGAATGCTTTGGTGAAGTTCATTAAACTCTGGCTCAGTCGATGTTCATACGCATTGTTCGTGGCAGCACAACCTTTGTATTACTGCGGAAATAGGGGATGGGAGAAAATCAATTACCTAAAACTTTTGCCAGGGAATATTCCAGTTATACAAACCTGGAATTGCTTTCACATAGATGTTCTACCTGAAACATCATGCTGTATACATTGATCATGTTCATAATTTGAATTTTGTTTTATTAACAAAGAAGTAACCTGTGAATTCATTAAGATGCAAATTTTTAACACAAACAAAACATCCAACATAAATTTCATATTATAATAATAATAACAACTAGGTGGAATTTATGTAAAAGCTGAGACTTCTACTGAGGTTGCCTGTGCTGTCTCTGCAGATAGCAACAGGTGTGACAAGCAACCAGCCTATAAAACTGGTCCAGGTACCGCAGACCACCACCTATATTCCAACTACTCAACCCACAATTGTAAGTACAATATCATCATTTAAAGTCTGCAGTAGTACTGTTCCTGGCATTAAAATTGCTCAGTATTTCTGGGGGGTTCTGCTGTTCTAACAAGATATGAATTCACTGGTATAGTCTCAACTTGCAGTGCAAAATGTCTTATTTTGCTGTGCAACATTCCACCCTTTCATTTCATCATTCATTATTACAAGGATTCAGAAATTGTCATTAAGTATAGCAAAGGCACTGAGGACAGTCAGACTTCCATTTTGCATTATTATGTTAGTTATTTGTCTGTTTCATGTATATACTCGACCACAACATCAGTGTAAATATATAGAATTCATTTGAAATATCTTTTAAATATCTTATTGTCTATGGTATCCTAAAGAGATTTAATTAATTCTGAGCTATGCTTGATATTCCTGTGACATCTCAGTAACTATGAAAGAAAATACGCATTCATCGGTAGTGTATCTCCCATGCAGTCTTGCACATTAGCATTATGAAATTATGAGAAATAGCATTGGAATCAGACCTGTTTTTTTCCATCAAAGACTTAACCAAGGACACTTGAATTCCCTAGTGTCAATCACAGGAGATGGGACAGAAGTGAGTTCCATTTTTGTATTTTATGCACCATAATATCCCATTCTTTCAACTGGTCACTTCAGAGTCAGCATGGCATCTGGGCTGACATTCTTCTTACCAAAAGGAAATACGCTGATACTGCACTGGTAACTGAAGGGCATGCTCTGTCTCAGTGGTGGGTTCAACAGAGAAGCCCATATGTGGATAACTTCAGTTCATTTTCTGACTGAAGTTAGATAATTTATAATAGTAACTATGTACTAATTTAACAGTGTACCTTAATCACACTGTGATTGTGAGGCCTAATTTGCTATAGAAGTTACTCTATGACTCTCCTTGTGTATGCACACCCATGTGCGTGCGTGCACAGCCCCCCCACCCCCCACCAGCTGCAGGATACATGCCTCTCTGTGTGTATGTCTATGAATACGTGCACACATACATACAGTATTTCATAGCCATTATATTCCACACAAATGTTATTGCTCTTAGTGGGGATCATGACTTTTCACATTCCTAGCAGCGTTTTAACTCGACTGAGAGCACTGTGCACCTTTGCAGCATTGGCCCTAAGTTGCTTGGACTGAAGTACCATAACAACAAGGTTTTATATGTGTTTTAAAATCAAATAGCAAACATCAAAGACGTTAGGCTCTTTTGTGAATAGCTGAGAGGTTGTAAGATCATAAGGTGGTTTTGTGTAATATTCAGAAAAATGGCAGTTACCTTCATTGGTTTTCTGTAGTACTAAGTGTATTGAGTTATGTAAAGCATAATTGGAACGTCTGAAAGGTTTCAACCTTTATTTGTGCATGTTTAAAACTTTGTACACATTTGCATTAGTCTTGCACAGCTACAGACACCTCTGTATTCTAATGACTGCACGTGCAATTTAAATAATTTGAAACCTTAGTGCATGTTTAATATGTATGCAAAATGTACATATGTGTAAAACTGGCAGAGGTGGAAAATTTACCTCTCAGGGAATGATCTTAACACATTTAAGGAGTCTCGCACATTCCATATCCCGATCGCTGTAAGAACTGAAACTTAATTTTTTCATTTGTGTAAGTGTATATATTTAAAAGACGACTGTGGCAACCTTAAGTTCCCCACCTGTAGTACTAACAGTGACTTACATAATGGCTTCTTTAGGGTTCAATTTGCACTTTGTTTCCAACTAGGAATTTCTTCCTCTGAACAACTTCCAGTGTATCTTCTGGGTACCATTTCCATTGAACCCTCTATACATATCTGAAATCATTACAAAATGGCAGTAATCTTGAATTTATTTAGCAAATTGGTTCCATGTTTGGTTTTTATTCTTTCTGCAGTTAAAATAATGTAAAAATATGAATTCTTCGTCTTTGCATTCCCGGGAATGGAATGAGTAGGCTTCTGGAAGGCATAGACTTTGTCACAAAGTAGCTGATAAACACTCTAGGCTGTAATCCATCTCAGTAGGGATACTCGCAATCTTTGTTGAATACCATTAAGGCACTAATGTGGTTTCTTAAAACAGTGTGGGGAAACATTGGGCTTCAGTGAAAACTTGTATTTCTTCTTCCGTGTTCTCTTTGGAATGTCACACTACCATCAGGGGGAAGATCTGTGCATCCCTTTCAGATTCCTCAAAATCTCACTTCCTGTTTCTTCCACAAAATATTGTGAACTGAAATGGATGCATTTGTTTGATCACCAGTTGTGCATCACTGGAATTGTATCAAAACATACTTGCAGTTTGTATGGTATAGACATTTCTAGACTTTCTCACATTTTTGGAGGAAGATTAAGATACAGACTTAAGATTCAATAAATCCTTTTCCAGATCTTCCAGAGTGATGTGACCTTGACCAGATTGTTTAACATTCTTGTGCCTTTGTCTCTGCATCTGTAGAATCAATTACCACCTATAGAGATGTCCTGAAACTTCATTTGTCAAGATTTATAAATCATGAATCTGTATGATGGAAGTGAAAAGTTTATTCTATACTAATATTTTTACAGGGTGTGTAAGACAGTTCCCAGTAATGCTGATGTTTTTGTTATTGATTTGTGCAAAAGTTAACTTAAGTACTTTTTTGTTCATATGGATGTTCTTTGTTCTCTTCTGTGTAGACTGAATGCATGGGGGAGTTCCTTTTGGGGAAGAAGATTTAAGTAATGTGTAACAAGGATATACTTATAAACAAGGGTATTTTTGTACTCCAGTTTGATTTGTCAAAACTTTTTCAAATTACAAAGGATTTTCTTAGCCCTTTTTCCTCTTCCCATGTATTAGTTTGGGGAAAATACATAACTCGATGTAGTAACTATGAAAACCTAATTCTCCAAGCACAGACAGAGTGCGTACAGTACCTACAGGACCACCTGTCCTTGTAATTATATAGTAGTAGTAATAATATAGAAAAACTCTTGGCTATAGGAAAGTAATACACTACTTTCTACCCTGGAATGAGGTAATATTGTGGTAATAAAGGTATTAATTCTTGCACAAAATTGGAACTTGTTCTGGATTTTCCCTGGAAAATAAATCTCTATTTCTGTGGTCATGTTTATGTGACCTTTAACATAACAATATGTTTCTCTTGGTTTTAATCCACAGACCATTCCTGTAGTGGTAAGTCCTTCTGCTGGGACAGTGGCAATGAGAACTGGAGTTCAGTATGTTCAGACCACAATGCCAGTCCAAGTACGAAGAGTCTAACTGCTAACAAGAAGTCCATACAATTGTTGGAATAAATAAATCTAATAGAAATGTGAAAAATAAACACAGTTCTTTGGATTAACCTCAAAGGTTCAGACTTTAGCTTTGTATATGTGTACAAAGCATTAACTACACTACATTAATGTAAAGCATTAGCGCTGGCTTAGAAAAGCTGAGGGCAGGTAAGATCCATATTAAATCTATGCTTCTTTTGTAAATAATGTACAATTTGTGGATGTCATTAGAGTACCATCTCCTTTTTATATTTGTATTGACTTTAACTTATAAAGAGCGTTTGAAGTTGGAAAAGGAAGGTTTAAAATGGCCTTATCACAGGCTAACACTGAAAACTGGTCTTGGGAAACTGCAGTTATGCATCAAATAATATAATCATGAGAATCTGAACAACTTGATTTGCATTTGGATTGAAAAAAATCTCTGCACTTTGAAACTCCTGTAGAATTTCTTTGAGCAACCAAGTGATGAAGGGTATCTTTTTTCAGTTAATTGTATTAGGCAAATTATGACATTTCCAATCTGTGGACCTGAAATACATAAAGATTTACATTGTTTTTTACAACGACCAGACTGTTAAAATTTATATTGTTTACAAGTTAAAATTAAGTTAAAATTTCGTTCAGTCTAATGTCAGAAAAGTTGGGAAGTGTAATACCAGCTGGTTGTAGCATGGTTTCTGATCATTGATATCCAAGATTGAGAGAAGTAAAGTTTGTTCCTATGCTTCAC